GGACCTGATGATCAGATTGTTGATGAACCTGAGCAAGATGATAAAGGTCCATCTGTCAAAGATGTCGTCCATAGAGAGACCGGAGATTTGTCAGATCAGCATAAGAAGCTTTCAGTTCGTGATCTCGCTTGCAAATTCGACAAGAATTTAGCTGCAGCTTCTAAATTAGTTGACGAGGTTCCACTCTATTTCTCCTCCTATGATCATGTGTATGTGTTTTTAGATGAAATGGTCACATAACCGAATCACCGATCAACATTGTCTTTCTTTTTGCTGGAATATTTAGGCAAAGTTAAATGAGGTGACTTCTTTGGAAGGACATGTTATGCTAAAGAAACTTAGGGATGCTCTAGAAACTATGAGAGGCCGCATGGATGGGCGAAACAGAGAAGCGGTGGAAAATGCAATCTCCATGGTTAGCTTTTCTTGCTTTTGTTACTCGTAAATGCGATAGTGTTGTTTGCACTGTCTCGCTACCATATCCACTTCTTCTTTTCCATATGGTATTACGCCTTTACGGTGACTTGAATCAACTGTGAAGTGTGTGAATAAAATTATGCAGTCTTTTGTGTCTTGTAGGTTGAGGCTCTAGCCGTTAAGTTAACTCAAAATGAAGGTGAACTAATTCAAGATAAGTTTGAAGTGAAGAAACTGGCAAGCTTCCTCAAGAAGGTCTTATAAGAATCCTTTTCATGTTTAATACATTGTAAATTTGCTAGACATTTGTAGATTCAATATATTCTCTTCTTGCTTGGTTACTTTTTTTAACAGTCAAGCTAAGGCTGATTCATTGTGTTCTCAGGCTTCAGATGATGCGAAGAAGTTAGTAAACCAAGAAAAGTCGTTTGCTTGTGCTGAAATAGAGAGTGCACGGGCTCTTGTGATGAAACTTGGAGGGGAATTCCAAGAACAGGAGCTTTGTTTTAAAGCTTCTAGAGATCAGGGACCTGTATGTATCAATTTGAGTTCAATTTTTTCATATGTTATGTTCTGCCATAGAAGGAGTAGGATTCTGAATCAAAATTATGTTCCATTTCACAGAATGTGGAGAAATTAGTTGAGGAGGTTCAGGAGGCTAGACGAATCAGACGGATGCATAAACCAACCAAGGTCCAACCATTTCTGTGCTCTATCTCTTTCACTAGTCAATCCAAAATGTTCACACAACTTCTGATTTTGATGGTTTATAATCTAGGTGATTGGTATGCAACATGAGCTTCGTGATTTAAAGAGTCAAATCCAAGAGAAGTCTGCATATTCCGTTAAGCTTCAAAGAGAGGTATATTTTTGTGTCTTGCTCGCTTCTTGTTGTTCCTTTAGCAACAAACCGTCGTGTCTCTAAAAATCACAAATATACATAGATAACAATAATCAAGAAAGCCGAGGGGTCCAAGTCATGTCCATATGTTCTGGATGGTGCACAAAGTCTTGGCTCGTGCCTAAGAATCCGTGCCTCCTCAGACAGTGGTTTAGATATTTCCAAATGTTCAATCCAGTGGTACCGTGCAGCATCCGAGTCTAGTCGAAGAGAAGCTATATCTGGTAATTGGCATTCTGTCTTTCCCTGATCATTTGGCAAATCTTATTATGTTCTCAAAGTAACTTATAGGACATGAGCTTTTAGCTTGAGCAGTTAACATTTTTCCAATCTTAGGTGCCAACCGGTCAGTATATGCTCCAGAACCATTTGATGTCGGGCGAGTGATACAAGCAGACATTGTTTCAAACGGCCAGAAGTTCACCGTTACAACCGATGGTCCAATTAATACTGGTTGGTGATACAAGAATTAGTTTGCTATTATTAAATACTTTCTGCAAAGTCCACATACAATTTACAATGGAGAAATGATTAATAATAGCTAATTGGATGACAATTTCTACAGCTGCTGGCTTGCAGTCACGCGTTGAAGCACTACTGCGCAAATCTAACAGTGAATTCACCGTATGTTTACAACTTTCCTTTTCCCCATGGAAGAAAATTTTGCATAGAACAGTTCTTGCTCTAATATAACTAGACATATTGAACTTCTTCTCAGGTGGTTATATCACAAATGAATGGACAAGACCATGCATCACGATCCCACGTCTTTACTGTTGGAAAGGCGAGAATAAAGCTGTCCCGAGGATGGATCACAAAGGCTAGAGAAATATATTCAACCTCCATGCAGGTAATCTAGAGCCTGTGTGATCGTTGCTTTATTCACTCTCTGACTCTACCTTTAGCTTTATTTGAAATTTCTTTCTTTCAAGTTTAAATAGTTTGGTAACATTTCAGCTTTGTGGAGTGAGAGGCAATGCTAATGTTCCTGCAAAGGCATTGTTCTGGCAACTAAGAAAGGGTCTAACTTTCTTACTAACTTTCGAGTCAGAGCAAGAACGTAATTCAGCCATAGTACTCGCCCGAACATATGCATATGATTGCAATGTGAGTAAAAGTAACCAACCAGAGAAAGATCCATTTTCTTTTTCTGATTCTATCTTCTCTTGTTTTGCATTGCCCTCTTAAGATACAATTAATCCATATAAAAAAATTCCTGGTGTAAGCAACCATTTTGAATCAATTTCAAATCCTGCAGGTGACTCTAGTTGGGCCAGATGATTGAGGTAATGAAAGGAGTAGTTTTGTGATATCGACTGTTATGTATTTCAATGTTTGTGTGTGGTTGAAAGAAGAAAAAAAGAAGAAGAAACACAGTGTTGCTGCATAGTTTTAGGCAGAAAACACATTTTGTGTTTTTTTTTTTGGCATGATCACTAGTTTGAGGTCGTTGGCATTTTTCTGATTTGATTTTATTGGTTTGTTTGTTTGGTCTAGTTTTGTTTGGTCCATCATTGCTAATTAGATTGTTTTGGAGTGTGAAATTGAAATCAACATTTGTTTGTATGTAATACCAGAATAATGTTTCAATCAATAATACTACATTCTACTCTTCCTTCTTAATTAATGTAATAAAATCAAAATGGCTTATTTCATATATAACTTTGCACTATCCGACGGTGCAAAATTGTCCAAATGTTAAGAGAAACTTGTATACTTTTAGTTAAGCTTATAATGACAAATTAATACTTTAACATATTGAAATATGGACTTAAAACGAATAATACTTTCACATTATCTACCTTTTATATCTTTAGTTGTCCGAATTTCTTGTTCCTCTTTTCTGTTTTTCACACTCTTTGAGTCCATCGTTCCGAGATTTCAATAGAATTTCAAGCTTTTGTCTTCTCGTGAGTTCGACTCCAAATCCATGGGGAAGATCCTCGTAGAAATCTGTTTGATATCAGCTCGAGGGCTCCGTGTCGGAATCGGAATCGGATCGTCTCTACTGAAACACCAATGGTACGCCGTTGGGTGGCTTGATCCAGAAGACAAGTACTGCACCACAATCGATGCTTCAAGATCAGACAATCCTGTCTGGAGAACAAAGTTTGCTACTTTACTCGATGATTCATCGATTCAAGATACGAAGTTGGCTTTGCAAGTCGAGGTTTATAGCAGAGAACCCTTGTTCTTAAGGAAGAGGCTTCATGGCTCTGCTACTGTTTCCTTGAAGGAGTTTCTGACTAAGTATAAGCAACAACAGAGTTCTTCCAAACCTGTAATTGAAGAAACTGGAAGCTATCAGCTTAGGAAGACGAACTCGAGCAAGCCTCAGGGTTTTGTCGATGTTTCGATACGTATATCCGCAGAACGAGAGGATTTTGGGGGTTTTACTGGTAACGTCTCTGAATTTTGCCCTTTGTTTATTTGGCATTTTATCTCTGCAATCAGACCATGACTCCTATAAAGTTTAAATCTTTGTCCCGAAAAGCTAGCGAGAATATGTAAATTGAAGAACAACAGACGCAAATGTAAATGGGTGTGTGTCAATTTGCAGAAAGCAACCAACTTTGGTGCTGCTTTTGTTTCCTGTAACTCAATTCTTGAAGAACCTTAAGTTTGGGTTTTTGAAGATCCGATTTTGAGTTCTTAGCGTTTTAAGATGGGTTTGTCTGAATCTGAAGGAGAGAACTCACCATTCTTCTTTTCTTCGTATGCGCAGGAGATTTTGGAGGAGTCATGCTTTCAAACAACTCGGATTACAACACTTCAGGACAGGATTACATGGCTGGTTCATCGCAGTATCCATTTGCTTCATTGGACCAGTCAAACCCATTCTCAGTTCCGCCATCATATAACCACCACTCATCAATGCCTAACCCTCCAATGAACAACACCAACCCACAAATGCAACAGCCTTACTATCCTCCACCAATGCAGCCACCACCACCTATGAGCTCAGGGTACATGCCTACATACATCCCGAAATCAGAGAATGTTACGAACATTCCATCATCATCTGGAGGAGTACCAGGAGGAGCGGGAAGAGGATATGCAAGGCCTGGACCAGGGTTTGCTGCAGGATTGGGAGCTGGTGCAGCTTTATATGGAGGCGAGTATATGTCAGGAATCGACTTACCTTCAAGCTTACCTCACCCAAGTGTCTCCATTTCCATTGATCCTCCATTTTGATGCAGCAACAGCTCGATTCAATATGGTGCATTGTGAGATTATCTGAAACATTGTAGATGATTCGTATTTGATATGATAAGAGATCCCACAATGTTCCTGTGGATGTAACCGGAGACCTTCTAACACTACCGCTTTTAGATACAGCATCTTCTTCATCTCTTCTTCTTCAATCTCCTTCTCTTCTTCCTCTCCGATTACGCTTTTGATCTCTTCGTATAATCTCTCTTGAATTTCTTGATTTTTCACAAGATTCGCCATGATCCATTGTAACGTCTTGAGAAACTCAGAGCATAAACTTACGATCTCGTCTTCTCTTCTCTTCTGGAAGCTCAAGATCGAGCAGAGAGTATCTACATACGATTGTACGTATTCTTTATCGGAATCTTTAGATTCTTCGATCATCTTTCTCCGGGAACATCGGATTTAAATAAATCTGTACACAAGTTCGTTGTTCAAAGTGACTATAAATGTTGAAGAACGAAGACGAAATAACTCGTTGCTTTTCAAATCTGGCTTTCAATAAGAAACGATGTCGACAGTATTACAACACACAAAAATAAAGTAGATCTCTATTGCTGCGTTTCAAAATTGCGGTTTGTATTACGCTTCAGACTGAACGTTTCTGGTCTTGAGACCGAAGAGATTCTTGTGTTTGGAGGAATCTTTGCTGGTCGTGGAGCCATGAAGTTGACAATCTTCTCATGAACATTATACCTGTTTCGTTTTTTTACAAGACATGTTTCAAAAGAGAGAATTAAACCTCCAAGAGTTAAACTATATATGTGAGGTTTATTTACCTGATCTTTCTGCTCTTAGAGGCACGTCGATCCACAATTTTCCTCTTCTTCGTCTCGTAGAAAGCCGTCTCTGCCAGTGGGCGCAAAAGATTGAGATTTCAGAATATCATAAGACTCTTTACACTAACACAAGCAAAAAAAAAAACACTTGAGTATCTATCTAATGATTATCGCTAGGGGAATTTTCATATCTAACGATTCCAGTATGTATTTTTTTTTACTATACCCGAGGAAGCTGGATCGATGGTCTCAAGAAACTCCTTTAGTAACTGCCTATAGAACTCAGCATCTTCCACAAGTTCAGGGTCTCCTTCCTGTTGTTTTTCCTGAACAAGAAAGAGTACACACATGTTAGAGAATGGGCATCAAGATAATCACAATAAGACTGATAAAATGATTTGATAGTACTCTCTAGCTTGGTTAGAGAAAACCGTGATTATACCTCTGGAATTGGTTCTATGGCCTCCCGAGGGACCTGTGGATGTGTAAATTTTAAAGTCAGAACAAACTGTAGAGAAGCTTAAAGCCAAAACTTACACTTCCAAAAACAGCAACAGTACGTAGATCTTGATTGTTGCATTTGTTTAATCATTCTACTTGGATCCCTCATGTAGGAAGCAACCTGTTCACTAACGTTCTGATTTTGAAAATTAATTCAAAGTTAGATTCCTGATTCCTGTATAAGAAGAAAATCATCTTCGGGGTTTGTTGTCTATACCTGGTTAAAGGCGTGGAGCTTTCCTTTAATAGCAGCTGCACCAGTTGTAACTTGTGTTCTTCTCTGCCATTTGTCCACAGCCTTGTTTCGGAACACAGACATTCTACATAGAAAAGACCAATTTTGTGTTAACAATGAAACATATATAAATGGTTATTGGGACTGGTCTCCAAATGAAGTCAATCATGTTTTTACTAAATATAGAGAAGGGTACTGTGAAAAAAACAATGAAAAGACCAATATCATGTTTTTACTAATTCAAATTTTTACTAAAAAATTACAATTATCATCATTAATTAAACTTTTGCGGTAGCCGACGATGATAGAAGGCTAGAAAATTGTTTTCCTTCATCCACTTTATTTCTTCTACTATAACTAGGCCTGGGCAAAAAAACCGTACCCGAGTACCCGAACCGAAACCGACCCGAAAAAACCGGTTCGGAGCGGGTACGGGTATTAGCTATTTACCCTATTGGGTCTTGTATTGCCGTACCCGTGGGTATAGGGTAAAACCCGATCCGAACCCGATACCCGAACGGGTACCCGATTACCCGAAATTACATATACTTATACATATAAAACTTTTTATATATGTAATATTTGAGCTAAATACATTTATATCTAAATATCCGAGAATAGTTATCAAAAATTAAATGCACTTATATTTAAATATTTATGACAAAATATATTTATACGCGAGATGCTTGTAAATTCTTTAAATATTTGGAAAAAATTCCGGTTATTCGGATAAATTTTCGGGTGAAACTCGGATATTAGAGTAAAATTGCGGATAAAATTCGGATATTAGGATAAAATTTCGGATAAAATTCGGGTATTTGATAAAATTTTGGGTATTTGGGTATAAAATACCCGAACCCGATGGGTACCCGATTTTTTTGGGTATTTAGCGGTTCTAAAAATCTAAACCCGAACCGACCCGAACCCGATTAGATCCGAACCGAAACCGAACCGATATTTTAGATTTACCCTATTGGGTCCTAAACTCCTCTACCCGAAAGACCCGTACCCGATCGGGTTTTACCCGAACCCGACCCGCATACCCGAATGCCCAGCCCTAACTATAACTATATGCGGTACGGTCATTTAACTACTGTTTGAAGGTTTTTTTTGTCATTATACTAATTGTCTCCTTTTTTTTTGCTAAAAATATTAATATTAATATCATATAAAATGAAAGTTAAAATGAAAGTCAAACAGTTTATAAAATATTTACAGTTTAGAACAAAATATAGAAGTAGCCATAGGGCAACCAGTAAGTAAAGCAAGAGAAAGAATGACTATGAAAGCGGAAAGAACAGAGAATTCAACATCAATCTGGGTCATTATGGAGGAAAATAGATTGATGACAAAGAAAAGATCTGGAGTGGGAGACGGAGAGAGAGAAGAATGTAAGATTTAAGAAGGAAGGGGTTCTGAAGTTAGCTCGGATCAAAAGATACTGCTGGTAGTTGAATATAATGCTTAATTAGGATGTATTACATATATGTAATATCAGAGAAAAGATTAGGAAGGTATCATATTAAGGAAGTTTGCTGTATTAAGGAATAGGAGGACCACATTAGAGCGGTTAAAAGTTTATGCAACACTGTCTGAAGTAATAGTTATCTAAGTTTTGGGAAACAATTTGTACGTAAATCCCATGACCAGAATAATTTTCTACAGTAAAACTCAGAAACTTTGCATGAGAGGCTCCACCGTGTGAGTTACACCAATGAAAAGTATTATACATGAAACATGATTGGACAATGACGAAGTTAAGTTTATGGATTGTATTATCTTAAGAATTTACAATTTTTCTCTTTCTATCATTTATTTGTTACTTATATATTGCTTATATTTTGTTTATGATTTACTTATGTTTTGATTATATTTTGTTTATTATTTTTTCACTTGTTTTCTTTACTCCTATTTCAGTTTTCTGTAATAATTACATGTAATTAATAGAGTGATCATAGTTAAAATTACAAATTTAGGTGATACTAATTGGGAAAAATGTCGGAAAATGTACGAACTTTCAAATTTGGGACAAAAAAAGCATGAACTTTCGAAATGTCATTTAAATCATAAAATTTCTTTTGATTTTTGATTAAATGGTTAACTTTTCTTTGACATGGCCATTTCGGGCATGTCGTTAAATTTCCGTTAACGAGACGCTGACGGGGTAACTTTCCGTTAGAAATCTCCGTTAGATCGAAACGACGTCAATGAAAACTTAACCATTTTATCAAAAGTCAAACTAAACTTTATGATTTAAATGACATTTCGAAAGTGCATGTCCCAAATTTGAAAATTCGTGTATTTTCCGACATTTTTCCCGTTAATAATTATCAGTATAAGTATTAATACAAATAATTACTATAAAAAGTATAAAGTATGAATACAAATATATCTACAATGCAATCCGTATTACCAAAACTTAGTTCTAGAAATCCGAATAACTTACATAAATGGAAAATTGCGTTCATTATTTTTTTTCTCACCCTCCTTCTAAACATCATTCATCTTCATTAATCTTTTCTTCATTTCTACAAGGTAATGTGGACACCTTTACTGTATTAAAACCCATTTGGGTGCTAGCTTTCGTTGTAGCTTTAGTTATAGCTTTGGGTTTTGTATATGTCATTGATAAAGTTGTGATTAGTCATTTTGTAGTGCTTGATGTTAGTACTAGCGAAATAGAGTTAGGTGTTGTTAATGTGGGTGATGATGATGATGATGATGATGAGGATGATGATGACAACGCTTCTGTCGAAATTGTTGTTCATTCCGATAATGAACATCAAGAACTAGATCTTGTTCCTGGGATGATGACAACGCTTCTGTCGAAATTGTTGTTCATTCCGATAATGAACATCAAGAACTAGATCTTGTTCCTGGGATTAATCCTATTGCGATAGAACATTTCTTATTTATGTATCAAGAAGAAGACTGTAGTGTATGTTTAGGGGAGTTTGAAACGATGTTCCATTGGCGGATACATTCCACTTCCACTGTTTAAGTCAATGGAATGTAAACACTTGTCCTAAGTGTAGAACCATTTTCAGTATAGTATTAATTGGTGATGTTATTATTGTCTTTAATATGTGATGTACGAGTGAATGAAATAATGTAATTTAATATTTGTCATTTTGGGTGCTAGCTTTCGTCGTAGCTTTAAGTTTTGTTTATGTCATTAGGTTTCACACGCGTATTAACAAAAAAAAAAAAAATTAAATACATCATTTTTGTATAACAATTTTTTTATAACTCTAAACCAATACTATAGTTATATATATATATATATATATATATATGTATATTATTTAACTTCTGCGGTAGCCGACGATGATAGAAGGCTAGAAAATTGTTTTTCTTCATCCACTTTATTTCATCTACAGATTTACTATATGCGGTCATTTAACTACTGTTTGAAGTTTTTTTTGTCATTATACTAACTGTCTCCTTTTTTTTTTGCTAAACATATTAATATCATATAAAATGAAAGTTAAAGTGTTACAAAAAAAAAGATTACAATAAATTTGGAAAAGATTTGGGTAAATTTATTGGATCCATAAAATCATCAAGTTTCGCCATCATTCTGCTTCTTCGAGCTATGATGGTATTGCGAACCGCACGGTCGATGTTTTTGTAAATGGTAGCAAGAGGGATAAAAGTGTGAGTTGTGAAGCCCATTATTCTTCTACATCCATATTTGGAAGAACGATGCATGGGCAACAATCTTACGGAGGAGGGGAGCTTTGATGGAGTTATGTCGAGTCTAGGAAAGAAGAGCTGGAAATGTGCTGCGTGGGTGAAGACGAGTTTCCAGATCTCGCCGAGAAACAAAGACAGCAAGCTGAAGAGGTACATACTCCCGAGAAGCTAATCTTTGTCTTGTTGGCAATCTGTTTAAGTGGGAGACCCACATATTGAACGCGTGTTTGAGGACCTCTCCCTTAAACCAGACAGTTTTAGTCCACAACTTCACAGCCTTCTTAGGCCTCATTGCTTCCCAAGTTCGAGAAGATGAGAATCCCTGACAAGTAAAATCATCAACAATCCAGTGAAAGGAGTCCGCTGGAGAGTCAATACTGGCAAAGGAATTGTGGTCAGGTGAATATGCAATGCCAGAGCATAGTCAGTTCTATGTTAAGGCATGATCCACCTAACATCAGAGCAAGCATCAGCCACCTTTGCATGGAGCGGGATGCAGGGAGATCTAGGACCTGTAGTCCCAAAGACCTTGTATAATAAGAGAGCCGAGCGATGTCCAATTATATCATACCAAAAAAATGTCTTTCAACCGTTCCCCACATCGCTATGCAAGAACCTCTCAGCAAGAGTCCTTAACTGGAGTATAGTTCTCCAAGTCCAAGAATCACTTGCGTTTTTGAAATTTCACAGACAGTAGTTCTGCTTCTGAGGTTATGAAGGCTATGCCCAGCAGCCCACTAAACCGAGTTTCAGCGAATATTTACCAAACAAATAATAATTGGAAGAAGTGGGAAGAATTTGTACCTCTTATATTTATCAGAGTAAAGTTTATTCTGAAAGAAAAGATTTCTTTGATAACAAAAATAAAAGAGATAGGCCTAGAAATATCAGATGAAAAGTTTCTAATCCGTTAGGGCAGAGTACACAAGTGGCGGAGACATTGAGTCCCCAACTTCGGAGTCTGTCTTTCGTAGGTAATATTCCTTTCATAGCAAGCCAAGTGGTAAATGAGAATCTTGGTACTGCTTCCTTGAACCAAACTACCTGGCTCCAAGGCACCAAAGGAGAGTGTGAACGCAATTGCTCCCAAGTTTCCTTAGAAGAGAAAAGATGTGCAAAAGATCCTGACATTCGCCGCTAGAGGTAAATATCATGCCCATTAATCGTTTGGGGAGAGAGATGGTTGTGAGCGTGATCATTAGCTGTTGTTGAGCCTCTGATCTCGCACCTGGCATCCGCCATTCCCCATTTCTTACTGCCTCTGCAACGCAAGCTTCCTTTCTCACCCGAATCTGTCTTGGTCCATTCTCGCCTATAAATCCAATCAGGGGCCGAAGTTCACACCAATGATCTGACCAAAAAGAGGCATTTAGCCCATCTCTCACTTCGCAGCGCATAAATTCCACAATGTAAGGCTTGAGGCGAAGCATGCTCTTAATGGTCCATGACAGTCTTGGGGAGTCAGCTAGCGTCCAGTAGGTCTTCCTTAAGAAAACATTTCCTTTTATCCAGGCGACCCATAAGGAGCCGGCATTTTGCAAACAGATTCTAAATTATCTTTAGCTGAAAGACGATGGCGAAGTCCTCCAGCAGCCGTAAGCCAAGACCCCCTTCCTCTTTGGGTTTACAAACATCAATCCAAGCAACTCTTGCACCAACCACAGAGGTCACTTTGTTTTTCCAAAGAAAAGCTGCACAAATAGAATCCACTTTCGCAAAGAACCTTTTAGGAAGTACATGTCAGGAATCGACTTACCTTCAAGCTTACCTCATCCAAGTGTCTCTATTTCCATTGGTCCTCCATTTTGATGCAGCAACAGCTCGATTCAGTATGGCTGCATTGTGAGATTCTCTGAAACATTGTAGATTATTCGTATTTGATATGATAAGAGATCCCAGATTCAAGAAACATATAAAATGGAGGCCTCAGGTTTCCTGGGAATTCGATTGAACTCTTTATTCAATTGTGTTATTACTTTTTTTCTATGGTGTTATTAGGAAATTTACATAATACAAAAAAAAAAAAAAAAACAATTTACATAATACAGTGTTTAGAAGCAAACTGTTGCGGGTGAATCTTGCTATGTAGCTATTTACATAGTCCCAATCAGTAATGCAGGTCCTTTCACTCGACGTAGCAATATGCAAAAATTAAATCTTATGCAGTCTTACCAAATCTATTTACATAGACATGGTTATGTACAGAGAGCTTAGAGGAGTGAGTGAAGCATGAGTCTGACTTATCTCCGGCGGTTGTCCGTCTTCAGAAAGTGGAAATATTCCAGTTGCCCCATCTCTCCTCCGTTCACGGGATCAAAGCTGCATCTGTAAAAACTGAGCCCAAGAAAACACAAGTGAGCACTATGCGAAATCTGAAGGTTATTTTTATAGATGCACAACTAGTGTAATTGCTCTGTTTTAAGATTCCTGGTAGTGTGATGGAATTGTAAAGTGAATGGGCTTATTTGGGATTATACCTTCCATCCATGCCGATAATAGCAACCGTGTTGTTACTGCCAAATGCTGCGAAGAATTGTGTGACTTCTGATACATGAAACTGTGCATATGACCATTCCGAGCTGAAATACTTTGGTAGAACACCTGCAACAAGAGTCTACATGTTAGGTAAGAAAGAGAATGACTTTTCAAGGTTTCAAAGTAGCATTCCAAACACCATTCTTCCCATTCTACATTCATGAGAGAGATAATAAACAAGAGAAAGAATCATGTTAACAAAAATTTATAATCTATGCTACTATGAAGGGAATAAATCTCTTGGACTTAGACTACTACATAGTCAATATTCCCACTCCATTAGTTTTAGGGAATCAAGTAACCTTTTCTTGACAGTTTCATGAGAAAAGAATAAAAATGATTTGGTACTCTTCCTTTTGTTCCATAAGCAACTTTAAGAAAAATCAAGGCATCATATTTCATTACAGACATTGAATTTTTCCTTACCTCTCATAAACGACAATGACGAACCGGGATTGGTACCAGTGGTTGGAGAAACAAGGCCTTGCAGAGAAGTAGAATAAGTTTGTTGTGTCAGGAGAGCTGCATTTTCAGTGGAATAAGAATCCTCCCCAACTACCCTAACTCTAAGAGAGAAAATGTGAACAGTCCCCTTGTCGCTTGATACAGCCAGCCACTGCACGTTTGGTGAAAGTGCAATGCTATAAATATCTGCTCTGTCCACTCCTCTTCGTACCTACAAAGAAACAGCATTGAATTGCATTTAGCATATGCATTAGTAACGATGCAGTGATCAAAGCAAATCAGCATTTCATATTCACCTCTTGCAAACGAGTTCCGTCCATAGTGTTGAAGATTCTAATCAGAGTTCCCTTTGTACTAGCAGTTGCGAGCAACAAACCATCCAATGTCAAAGTCATACACGCAATACTAGAATCATGAGCATTTATGATTTGTACCATGTTAAGCCCGAAATGTTCAACTCGAATCTCTCCTCGATGAAGACCGGGGCAAGCGAGCACAGACGTATTAGAATGATGAGAAAGGCAACATAATCCTCTAGGATTAGCTTGGGTTTCAATCTGATGAAGAAGTCTAAGGTCCATAAAATTGTAAACATAAATCTTATGTTCAAGAACAACAACAATCCGATCTCTTCGTAATTTCACAGCACGAATCTCAGACCTAAATGCAAATTCACTAATGCAACGGCTCTGATGATCATCCCAAATTAGTACTTTGTTTGAAGGGTACTGAGAGTTAGCTCCACCACCAACAAGTGCCAATATATTGCTTCGGAAAAGCATCTCTACAATTTTGAAACCACCGTTCTTTAGCTCACGCCTGAAAGTTTCCTTGAAAGGTTGACAGTTATATATACGAAAGCCATGACTCGTTCCAGCTGCGAAGCAACTTGAATCCTGATTCCAACACACAGAAACCAACTCTGCTTCGTCGTTGTTAATAGATTCTGATTCTGAACCAGAGGTGATGTTACTGCGGGAGTCATGACCACTGTAACCACCTTGTTGCAGGATTCCTTGGGGATTTGAAACAGTTGAGCTCATTTTTTTTGACACTGGACCTGACAGATCAAACAATTACAGTAACATAAGAATCGAAGAAAATCGTATATAATCTTTGATTCAAACATTAGCAAGGAGATAAACGATTCCTCACCAATCGGAAACGAATCTACGGGACGAGTAGGACGAGATCTACGGTGAAATATTGAATCTCCAAGGTTCGGATTTGAATGACGAACACGCTCTCTCCAGAGTTGCTGATTTCTCTCTGAATGATTGATTTCTCTCTATACCGGTAAGTTTTATCTTCGTCTAAATTGAATTCTCCGGTTTAATCTTTATTTTTCGGAATTTATCGTGTCGGTTAGTAAACCAAAAGCGAGAAAGAAAATGGGCTTATTTAATGTCCAAGTGGGCCGCTAGCTATGGGCTAAGTAATATTCACGTGTCTGCGTTTATCTTGGATTAAAAAAACTCGTGCCGTTTTTATTTGGTGGAAGATACTGTCGTGCCGTTTTTTGGATTAATAATTTGGTTAATATACCAAAAATGGAAAATTCACTTTGGAGACAAAACAATCCATATTTGGAAAAAGGTGATTTTGGCTATGAAGGAAAAGTGAGAACCCCGATAACACTCGCTTTGTTCAATGCGTACACATAACTAAAGAAAGATAAAAACCACAGTTTCCGAGAGAGGGAGACATGGACCAATTATCACTTGATTCTGTTTTGCGTTTTAAGTTAAAGCTAATAATCTCATAATAATACACTACTATTTATTTTGGATTGTTAACTTCACCATTGTTGCAAAACTTTACTACTAATTACTAAAATAGCAAGTTGTTGACAAACCATAACTTTTTTGTTTTTTCTTGTATTTCATGGTGCAATTTTGGTAACTCGTTTTAACAAATTATCATCACTTAGAATTAAATTTCTTATAATCTCATTTTCATTGTAGCTAAAGTACTACTACGACCCCATCTTTACTTAAACAACTAGTCGTTATGTTCTAATTCATATCCCTTTTCACTTTCTACTAATTAAATCTCAAAATTGTAAAAAGTAGAGAGAAATCGATTCATTTCGTTTTGTAACAAAATAGAAAAGAATACAAGATTCATTCGAATCTTAAACTTGTAAATTTGAGTTGTTCTTTTTCGTTTCCAGATTTTCTATATCAATCGGTTTATGGTTCTTTTGTGAACGAGAGTGATAGATAGTGAGATTTGAGAGCCTAAAATTCTCACAACTGCTTTACCACCATAAGTTGCAATAGAGTTGTAAGTTTGAATTTTCATTAAAATGTCACACATTATTTAAAACCATAAGTTTGCAGTAATCTAGGTAACTATTATGTAGATCTTTTAATACATATGTAATATATATTATTTGTACTTTTTGGAGTACCACTCACCAAGAATTTGGGAATATTACATGCACAAAAACTCTCGATGTACATGAAGCTTACAACATGATGGGTTTTGGGAAATTTCTAGGGAAATTTAAACTATTGTTTTGTTACACGTAAAAAGATAAAACATTTTGTCGGTAACCACCGGCTTGACCTAATATAATTTCTAAACCCTAGTTCATATATATTGTTAATTATTTCATTATTTCGAACAAATGATGCTGTGATACTGATGCCTTTTCTACTTAATATATTAACTAATTGGATGATCACATGATGATAAATTATCCATATAATCTACTTGCTACGTTTCCATATACAGTAAAACCTCTATAAATTAATAATGTTGGGACCACAAAATTTTATTAATTTAGAGAGGTAATAATTTATCGATAAATTAGAAATTATTAATTTATAGAGAGATTTCACTAATTTTGTAATTTTTCTAAAAAAACCTATGTAAAAATAATTTTTTCATATATAAGCAATATCTTTTAAAAACTAATTACAAGTAGAGAAGCAATTATTAATTTTAAAAAACAACACAAACTGTTTTCGAATACTAGATTCATATTTAATTAAAAAAATTTACATATAATATTATAAATATATATCATAGTAATTCATATATGACATATATAAATTTGTATCATATATATTAAGTTATATATATATATTGATAAGTTTATATAATTATTAATTAATAATATAGATGGGACCATATGTTTATATGAGAGTTTCAAAAAAAATATTATCTTATTAATTTATCGATTTATATCATATTTTACACTTGTCCTAACTCGGGACCTGAAAATTTTATTAATTTAGAGATATTATTAATTTATAGAGTATTAATTTATAGAGGTTTTACTTAATATCTGCATTATTGCAGACAAATACATGAACCACACAAATACCTTTGAGACAATATTTAAATAACAATTCGATATCGTGCACGATGTCTATACATTCTATATATATATATATATATGTGGTTGTTTATAATTATATACAACCTAATTGTTTCACTTTCAACTTTTATAAACTATTTCGTGTGGATATTGTCATCATATTGTTCATATGGATATCCACTTATTGACTTACTTACTTTTTTGGCATCATCGGTTCTTTAAAACTTAGTTCATGCTTCATAGACGTACGGTTCAAATACAAAAAAACCAAGAATTGTATAGTATATATATATATAATTATAAAAGTTGATACCTAACAATTATAAGCATAAAAAATGATTTCAAGATGTAAATATATATCGTTTTTTAACCAAAGGGCGATGTAAAGTTGTAAACCATGCATTCCAATCATCGGTAACATACAAATTACAAGTACAGTACTAAAGTCTTACTTTACAAAATACGAATAAGGCAAGAACACGACCTCTATATTTACTAATTAATAATATCTCTCAACCCAACAAATAAACAGGGAGGAAAAATGGATACATACATGTTCCTACATTGGTCCAAAAACACAAAGTATGAATTAGTATTTAAGAAAGACCATCGTCATGTATCCATAGTCGTAACCGAAGATTTTCATTAGAATGTAATATACTGTACATATATATCATTCAAAGAAAGCTTAACATAATTAATATCCCCCCAAAAACAAGCATTAGTTTAAAATCTGACTATACCTTTAATGCAACCCTAGCTAGTGAGTTAGTGGGTAGATTCACGTGGACATGACGCAATCCTAAACCATATATGGCTCAACGAGTACAGTTCAATTCGATTTGAAGTCGAATCATGTCTAGAATCGAGATGCAATATATATACTGATATATAAACAGGTAATGAGAAAAAAATGAAAAAATTGTAGAAAAAGAAGGAGCTCCCTTCAGTCCAAACACAGATAAAGAAGGATCAAAAATATCTCCCGCATCATTCATACAGTCACTGCGGTTTAAAATTGATCGTTTCTCTACCACGAGTGTTTGGATGGATGAGTCGGCAGATATTTCTACCCTCTTCTTTTTCTATCCATGACTGGACTGAAAGAATCTCCTTCTATATCTATCTATTTTAATCTCGATTCATATATTTATCTATAATTTTGAAACAATGAAGGGCCACACTTATGAAAAGCAAGTTGTTCTACAGAAGAATACATAGGCATGAGTTAGTTTCAAACACATGCACTTATTGCTTTAAATGGGCCATCGACAACTAGACAAAAATGTGACCAAGACAACTTCCTATGTACTTATATATTTGAACATTTAGTTTGAAAGGTTATTAATTGCATGTACTTACTTATAAATGCATCAGCAATGAATTAGAATGTCAACTAATGTAGTAAGTGTATATGAATGAACTTAACTTACAAGGTTTGGATATGGTGAGTGTTCTTTATGAAACTTCACAGAAAGAACCGCTTTACTGTACAAGTAAGACCACTGATGGGTCTTGTCAAGAAGAGGCTACCAAGAGAGAGACAAAGGACGAACTGTTCATCAAACATTGAAATCATAAAAACCATTTAATAATGCTTTTTTCTTTAAAAATTGAAATTGGTTTGTAAGTGATGTAAGCCCTGTGCAGATGAACAGTCCCCGTAATAATAACAACATTAATAATAACTACTTGAGTAAATATATACCTAATAAGCAAGTATATATAAGCAGACAGGTCCAAAACATGTGTGAAAAGATTCTACCATAGTCATTGCAGATCATGAGAAAATAAATTGAGAAAATAAATTAAGAAAATATATAGAAAGACTTACAAAATAAGAAAATATATAGAAGACTTAAACAAACGTAATTTGATTTTACCTCTTAAGAAATACAAGCGTTGGACCGAGAAATATTCAGTTCTTTTTTCATGAGATCTCAGTTTCTGGAGGGTTTGTGCGAGAGATTGAAGTGCAAAATCAGAGAAATTGCATTTATGCCTTAGATTTAGACAAGTGGAAACCTAAAACTAGATAAATGAAAAGCATAATTCTTTTTTGTGGAAAAAGGAAAGCGAGAAAAGATCTGAAGCGAACAATGAATGGTAATATACTAATATATAGACCTTAATTAAGACAAAGAGAAAAAACCCTAAAAGCAGAGAACTGAGAAATCTTATCTATTCATGTACGAGAGATTAGATCTCAAGTAAGTCACAACTAATGGTAGATGTGATGATAAGACAAGAGAAAACCCTTACATGGATCTTGATGTTTCACACTCAGATTTAGGAGCTGTCTGAAAACCCTAGCTAGCTCTCCTTTCGAAATCTTCTCAACCCAATAGAAACTATAAGTGGGGACTGTAACTTATAGAAAAAGGTGAATTAAGTATGTGGATGTTGCAACTAGGAACTAGCTATTAGCAAGTGGTGGTTCAAAGAAGGGACAAACAAAAAGAGATGACGATGATGATGCTGAATGATTAATGATGATGATGGTGGTGATGTTGGGTCATTGTCTTCATGGGATTCAGGGAAAGCTAACTGTTTCTTCATATCTCACCATATCTTACATAAATGAGAGAGAAAG